GAAGCCCCATGAAAATCACAACTTGACTTCAAATCCAAACTCAAGAAGTGGTCAAAATGAATTCTAATAAGGGGGAATGCTAGAACACGTCGAGGGGAACAAAAACCGTGAAGGCCGAAGACTTTTCACTTAGGAAAAGTAAATGAAAGGAGGAGAGAGAAGGTGGCAGCTCCATGGGCATCCATGGCTGCTTCAGGCCGTGCAAGGAGAGTGGGGAAGATGAAAAATAAATTATTTCACCCCCCTTTTAAAGAAATCTCAAAAAGTGCCCCGAACGGGCCTCGCCGGGTCCGGAATAGTGGAATTAAAGCAAATGCGCTCAAATTGCAAAACTTCATGAAGAAAAAAGATTTAAAATGAGAAAATATGAAGAACGGAAGAAACAGCGTCAAAAACTGAGTCCCGAGCAGAAAGTTATGCCTCGAACAAGTTCGGCGGCAACCGGGTCCAAAAACTCTGAAACTGGAGAAAAACGACCAAAATAGAATTCTAAGAGTTCACGACTCGACAAAATATGAAAATGAATCCTGTACAAGGATCCAAGCTCCAGATAAGACATTTTGCAATAACTTTCGTTAATTGCACAATGGCCCCTACGAGAAGGGTTAACTGCGAAACTGCCCCAGAATGAAAATATCTTTCAAAAGATATTTTCTTAGATACTCCTGAAATAAAATATCTTCAAAAGATATTTATGAAAAGTACCCCAAGAAATGAAATAGATTTTGAAGAATTGTGCATCCATGCCCCTATGGGCACCGGGAGCAACCAGAGTACTTTCTTGCAAAAGTAAAGATACGTATTTCAAGATGAAGGCATGTGAAGTCAAAAACCAACTCCGAGCATGAGAAGTGAGGTTGTGCCAACAATGTGACAAATGGGGAAAAGACAGAATAGGGAAAAAGACGAAACAGGGAAAAGGACGAAAGACACATAGTGTCCGAAAAGTGAAAATGCGAAAATGACTCGGTCCTCAAAGGAAGTTATCAATTCACATGAAAGAGTCTCAGAAACCAATTCCGAGCACTCGAGATGACACTAAGCGACACGAAACAGAGCTTAGAAAAGGAAATTAAACGAAAAAAATTCATTCGTAAAATTTCAAGAAAAAGGAAAGGGAGACAAATGATCGGGTCGTTACAAATCATGATCGAAAAAGTTTATGAACAAAACAGTTATAGTTTAAACAAAGACATACAACGGATTACAGTTAAATTTATCATGCGTAAAACATCCGTTTTAAAGTTTAATTAAATTCCTGGAGACTATATAGCATGCACAGAACACAGGTTTATGGGAAGGAGATAGAATAAAACTTACCTTTCGGTTTCAGTTTGAAACCTTTCAACGTCGTCTTTAAATTCTCCGACAACTGCCGACTACCGGTAAGCCTCCTACTGCTCAGGTTTAGTCCCACAAGCCATCCATTCCTTCCTCCTTGGTCCGACCTTTAGTCCACGACCGAAATCCTAACTGGTTCTCACAGTTTCCTCTCAAGCTCCCCTCAGTTTTTCCTCTCAAGAACTATTACGTGAATAGGGTTTTTCAACCCTAGCAGACGTATACTGTTCAATATATATAGGCTTTTATTAAACCTACTTCTAATTCCAACCACATTATAAGTCGGCTACCATAACCTCGTAAAATAAAACCCTAAACCTAAACTATATACGACCCATACAAATTATAAACCAATTAAGTCATATAAGCCATTTAAAAAAAATACGTCAATTAAAACACCAATTAATCAAATAATTAAATTAAATAACAATAAAATAATTAATTTAAAACAAATAAACAATTACAATTAAACAATTAATTTAAAACAAATAAAAAATAAATTTAAACAAATACACAATTAACCAATAAAGCAAATAAGCACTTAATTCAATAAAAATGTAATAAAATCCTTAATTAAAATACCGAGACTATCGTTTTAAAATTAGGGGTATTATATTCTTCCCCCCTAATAAAAGGAATTCCATCCCCAGAATTCAAGAATCATGAATTTTTTTATTTTAAATTCATTTCTGTTCCGTTGTGGGCTTTTGCCTCTGTGTATAGGCTCCACCGAATTCTAAATCCTGAGAGAAAATTTATGATTCCGATATTTAAGGAATACCAAAAAACTACGCATAGGTTATATTGCACAACAATTCATCCGTACCCAATATCTATACTAGGGTACCCATCCATAATCCTCCAAGTGCCATAGAATATATGCACAAAATTCCTATGCATGCAGCGCTTAACAAATTGGTAACGCTAAACTATAGGCAACTGTCTAAATTCATAAACAAAATCTGTGCAAAGTCAATTTAATACGTAAAATTGACCTTCCTCTAAAAAGAACATTGCTTCCTATACGAAAGACAGCCTAAACAATCATTTCCGGATAGAAAACTCTAATGTACGAGTTCAACTATTTACAAATTCCGACTGCCACCTCCAAACCGCGCACAATCCTCGACAAAAGAGAGGATTTCTCTCCCATGTATCCTTAAATAAAGTCAATGTCTTATTATATAACCCTCGCTTCCATTTCAGACCAACAAGTGAGAGATCTGCATTACGTAATATCCAAAACCTCAACCGTTGTCACACTAACCTCCTTGTGCCAACAATAGCACAGATAATAACTGAAAAATGAAGTAACACTTTCAATTACCCATGCAAACTTAGGATAAATATCCTAAGCATATCCTCCATGATCAAATATAATGTCTCGATCAAATCTCCCGTCTAGAGATGCGAAGCAAAGTTGTTGCTCCAATATCTTCAAAAAAATTCATTTGACATAGCACCCTTTTATCTACTATAATGAATAACCACATGTTATAACTCCATTATCAGTGCATTATAGAACTGATATGAAACTCCCAAGTAAAATCTACTAGAAGTAATATCCACAAGCGAACTTGCTCTATCCACCACTCTTAATCCATATGTAATTAAAATTCCAACCAATGTCGGTAATTTCTACCAACCATCCCCTCCTGATTAGTCCTACTCCCATTTTGATATAGGAAGTGGCTAAAACCTCCGATGATATCTAAGTATCAATTTTCCACCTTGCTTTGAAATGATACATTTGGAGACAGTCATGTACATGTCCCTATCCGTATCAGCTCACCAAAACTAACATTGTATGTCGTGAGGCAACTCATAACCCTTTGACTGCACTGTAAAATTTGTGAATTTTACATCTTAGTCACTCCGACCTTCCTAGCATCATTAAGATAAACTACTAATCCTCCTTCAGTACCCTAAGCTCATCTGAGTAAGGTACTACCTCCTCCAGGGTCAGCTCTAATATTCTAAGTTGACCTCTTCAATTACCTTGGTAGTAACAACAAGTGTTCTTTTTACACATGTTAAAACTCAATTGATTGTGTAATAACCACCGAAAGTTCAATTACCATATCAGGTGATAAGATCATCCTCCTCCCTATTACTTTCACAAGACGAAACTTAATGCAAAGTGTGAATCACCACTTCTATCCATCTAAGACGTCTCGTGATCTGTGCTATTCGTATGAACAGATATCTTACCAGTTCCAAATAGACAAAATGAAGCTGATTTAATTTATCAATCAAGCAATATCCCAACCAGAATCCTGACCTTTGTGTAGAATCAACAATCTCTCAACTAAATCCGTGGAAACTACTCTGTCATTCCTACTCTAGTAAGAGAAATGGCTGCAAGGATCTAGCAATCTCTGATGGTCCATCTGGATTATCTAATAGGTAGCAGACCTTGAGACAACATCACCGTGTCCCTCCTCCTGTCTGTCCTCAAAACATCTGCTTCATTCAGTGAAGTATCATGTTCCCACCAGGGTAAATAAAGAACTAAGAGCTGTAAACCTCAGTCCTTACATCCTCCTACCAATTTGTCTACAGAAAGTACCGTTGGTTTGATACCACCAACTTTCATCTGCATCCATTGTTTAATTTGGAGTATCGTCAAAAGCTACCTCTGCAACTAAATCCATACATTCTAATCCGTGACAAACTTATCAATATAGAAAGTCAATCGATAATTCATGTAGCAAGGCAAAGCCATACTATAGTTTTCTATCATTTTGAAACTGAGATTTCACTTGATTTTCTTTGAATCTCAGTATCTTTTTTTTTTCCTAGTTGGTACTCACACACACATGTCTTTTTCGAAACTTGAACCCCTGACATCCCTTTAGGAAATAAGAGGCTGATACCGCTAGGCCACTAGCCGTTGGTTGAATCTCAGTATCTTACTATCTTGACCCCTAAAATTGAAAAATAAGAAAATTGTTTTAAGTTTTATTTGTTGTGTACAACATTAATTTTTTAAAACAAATTGATCCTGAATTTGTATGCGAAAAAAGAGAGTAAAAAAAAATCTAATTTCAAAAGTGCTTCTAGCAAGTCTTTCCTAACAAAACTGCTACATAAGTAGTTTTTTTATTTTTTTGTTTGTGAAACAATTATTGAAAAAGGCTATAGGTAAAAGCAATCAAACAGATGACTGCCTCTTCAAAGAAAAATTCAAATAAACCAATTAATCATCAATAGTACTCCGTACAAAATATCAAAATAGATGTGCTTCTCAATTTCTCATCATTGATTTCATGATGTGTGGTGATCTTTAGTTGGTGAGTAGGCAAATTTGATCAATTCACAGCTGTATTAGTAAATACAAATTTGAATATGACACCAAATGAAACAATTATTGAAATAGGCTATCGGTAAAAGCAATCAAACAGATGACTGCCTCTTCAAAGAAAAATCTAAATAAACCATTTAATCATCAATAGTACTCCATACAAAATATCAAAATAGATGTGGTTCTCAATTTCTCATCATTTATTTCATGATCGGTGAACTTTTGTCGTGAGGAGGCAAATTTGATCCTTTTTTTTTTTTTTTTTTTTTTTTTTTTTTTGACCCCAACAAGGAAGCAATCACACAGAAGAAAAAAAATTACAATCTGAGTGAAGGGCATCCAACAGCCACTTGGGTCAGATGCACTGTTCCAAGTTACCATTAGCAGCTACAAGAGCCTTCTTGTTCAAAACATGAGCTACAACATTTCCTCCCCGACGAACCCAAGCGAGAGAGGCACCTAAACTAACCTTAAGAAGAGAAATGACATCTTGAAAAACAATAACAAAAGCCTCCACAGAGGCTTGAAGTTGCATCACAGGCAAATAATCTCCCTCAATAATCACATTTTGGTAACCCCAGAGTTTAAGAAGAGAAAGGCTTTGGCAAGCGTCAGACAAGAAACATTAGACAAAAAGGCCGACGCAACCTTGAGAGGAAAAAGAATAAAATTGCCCCCACAAGTCTTCATGGAAGAATCAAAGGAGGCGTCAAAATTAAGCTTGAAACAGCCCTCACCTAGAGCGTTCCACCTCGAAGAATGAGGGGCCAGAGGGGGAGAAGGGAAGGAGAGCAGCGAACTTTGGCGAGAGAATTCCCAATATTCTTGATAATCCCGGAAAGCCGTCTGAGTTGCGTCGAAAAGATCCCATCTTTTCTTCCGAAAAATAAGGTCATTTATGCATTTCCATAAAGTCCAACAAATGAATGCAGCCAAACTGAAGCTTTCCACTTGGTTTGCAGAGGAACTCCAGATTTCAGAAAGATCAACCCAGCGTTTCGGCCAAAAGGAGGGACCTTGGCCACATAAATCCAACCTAAGAGTACTTAATCTCCACACCAAGCAAGCAAAAGGGTAAGTACAGAGAAGAAGATCCATGGTCTCGACTGCCGAAAGACACCAAAGACATTCAGAGATTTCCGAACAACCACGTAAAAATAATAGATGGTTCACTGAAATTCTATCATGGAGAGATTGCCAAAGAAACAATAATTTTTTCCTGTGAGCTTTAATAGTCCTCACTTGGCGCCACATAGCCCTTTTGAAGGCTTCAAAACTACAACCCACCGCCACACCAGACTGAGGCTTCTTACGTAAAAAGGAAAGTGCAACCTGGTAAGCACTTTTAACAGAGAAGGTTCCATCATGAGAAACACCCCAAACTTTTTGATCCACCGCACTCGTAACACTGATAGGAATTTAGAGAATTAAATCACTGTCTCACTTATTAAAATGCTGAGCAATCAGACTTGAATTCTACTGATGAGAAGAGTGGTTTATAAAGTTAGCAACTGATGAGAGATTCGAGTGTGAGCTTGAAGAAGTTGCAGAAAAATTTGAAGGGTCAGGAAGCCAGTTATCTTGCCAACAGTTAATTCTCGAGGCGTTCCCAAGACACCATTTCATCCCTTTCTTGATGACATTCTGAGCTGAGAGAATGCTTTTCCAAACCCATGAGGACCGAGGTTTATTGGGAGCATCCACAAAATTACAATGCTTGAAATATTTCATCTTGAAAGACTTGAAAAGCAAGGAATCATCACCCATTTCCATCCGCCATGCCATCTTAGCCAGGAAAACTAAATTAAAAGCTTCAATATCCTTGAAACCTAGACCTCCATTAGCTTTAGAATCACAAATTGAATCCCAGCTTATCCACTTGATTTTGTGAGATTTCTCTTCGCCGCTCCACCAACAGTTAAGAAACATGCTAAATAAATCCTTACAGTTTTGCTTAGGAAGTTTAAGACATTGCATAGCATAAGTTGGCAAAGCTAAGAGCACTACTTTCACCATCACTTCCCTTCCTGCTTTAGAGAGCAGTTTGCCTTTAAGCAGCTTTGTTCTGGAGGAAACACGATCAGAGATAAAATTAAGGGCTGCGACTTTTGACTGTCCCAGCAAAAGAGGAAGGCACAGGTAAGTGTTTGCCCAGTCAACATTAAGAATCCATAAAGGGGATTTGCAATATGATTTATGGGTCGAAGAAGTATTAGGGGAAAAAAATAAACAGGATTTATTGAGGTTGACGAGTTGACCTATCAAAGATTCAAAACAATCAAGGATAATTTTGATATTTCGAACCTCTGGACCTTTAGCTTTACAAAATAGAAGAGCATCATCAGTAAATAATAATGAGAAATTGGTGGACAACCTCTAGCCATTTTGAGACCTTGCAAAAGCTTACGTCTTTCAAAATCGTGGAACAAAAGGGAAAGCCCCTCTAGTAAATAACAAAAAGAGATGGGGGAAATGGGATCACCCTGTCGAAGACCCCGAAAAGGGATGAAATTGTCACCTCTTTTGCCATTAGCAACACCGAGTAAGAGACCGTGCTGATGCATTCCATCATTAAATTCACCCAATGCCTATCAAACCCCAAAATAATCATGAATTTGCAAAGAAAAGACCAGCTGACTCTATCATAGGCCTTCGCTATATCGAGTTTGAGAGCCATAAAACAGGAATCCCCGTGCTTTTTTTTATTTATTAAAGAACATGGATAAAATCATGGGCAATAACAACGTTGTCATAAATAAGGCATTAGGGACAAAAGCACTTTGAGTTTCATTAATTAAAATAGACAGAAAGAGCTTAAGTCTATTGGTAATGGTTTTAGAATATATCTTGTAAGCGACATTATAAAGTGCAATCGGACGAAAATGTGACATGGTTGTTGGATGAGCAACTTTGGGAATAAGGACAAGATTAGTAGCATTGAGACCCTCAGGAAGTGAACCCCCATGAAGGAAAGAATTGAAACCCTTCAAAAGATCAGACTAGATTATTTCTCAATTATATTGGAAAAAAAGAGAGATGAAACTATCCGGACCCGGGGCTTTGAAAGGACCCATAATTGCAAGGGCAATGCGAAGTTCATCTTCAGTCCATTCCTTCAACAAATCATGGTTTATATCATTTAAAACTTTACGGCGAACCAGGGCCCAAAACAAATAATCATCAAGGTCAGGAAGAGAAGAGAATAACTGGTGAAAATAATCTTCAGCAACCTTACAAATATCATCTTTTGAGTCCACCCACAGACCATGAGCATCTTCCAATCCGATGATCTCATTTTTTCATCGTCGGATTTTCGCTTTTCTATGAAAGAATTTTGCGTTCTTATCTCCATGTCCCAACCATGCAATCCTGCATTTCTGCAACCAGTACAGTTCTTCGTCATGCCAAGCACTGCCCAGCTCTTGCTCCAGAGTGAAACATTCTGCTTTATCAACCTCAGTGGCTTGTTCTTTGAGAAACTTCAATTTTCCTTCTAAAGCTTTAATTTTGGTTTAAGCATTATTACATTTGCCTCGTCTCCAAATTTTGAGAGTAGATTTGCAGTGAAAGTTTATGTTTTAGATCAAGCATTGGAGGACCGGGAAAATGAGAGTCCTAGGCTTGCACAACAATAGGCTTGAACCCCTCTTCTTTAACCCAACGAGCATCAAAATGAAAATCTCTCTAGATATCGAATCATTAAGGTTTAACATAATGACAGTATGATCTGAACCTTAGAATGTGTTGATGATGGATTCTGCGCAACCTGGATCTGATCTGACTTCTTGAATAAAGAGAAGAAAAAATGATCCTACGAACACCGGTGTGTTACCGGTGGAGTAGGCTCCGACGAACAAGTCAGTGTGAATGATAATCTCCCTGGAGAAATCGAGAAATTGAGTTAGGGTTTATTGCATCCCTCAAAACGTTGATTCCCATGCCTTTTTTATAGGGCTTAGGTTAAGATGTCACGTAAAATTACCTTATTGTAATCTGTAGACTTAATCCTCATCGTAATCTTTAATCCTTATCACAATCTTTAATCCTTATCGTAATATGTAAAGCCTATCTCAATCTATAATCATTATCGTAATCTGCAGAGCCTATCTCAATAGTGCATTAATTTAGTAATCTTCCCTTAATTATGGATATTTAAATTATACATCCATCAGTTGCCCCTCATTTCGGAGGATTGCTTGTCAAACCACCGAAACGTTAATTCCAAAATATCACACAATAATATATAGTTAGAATTGCAGAGCCTTGTCCATTAGCCTGACTTATATTGTCATTTCGTGAATACAGTCGGGGGTCATAGTATCACATTGGCAGCTCGTATATGTGGCAAGCTCGTATATTTGTCGTATATTGGCAAGCTTGTATATTTGTCGTAGTGCCACATTGGCAGCTCGTATATGTGGCAAGCTGCCATGCTGGTAGTCTACCGTTATGTGGCAAGCTGCCATGCCATGCTGCCGTGGCAAGCTGTCCTGCTGGCATGCTGCCGTTATTTGTCAAGTTGCCCTAGCAGGCATGCTGCTTTTATTTGGCAAGCTGCCCTGCTGGCATGCTGCCTTTATTTGGCAAGCTGTTATGCTAGCATGCTGCCGTTATTTGGCAAGCTGTTATGCTAGCATGCTGCCGTTATTTGGCAAGCTGTCCTACTAGCATGCTGCCTTTATTTGGCAAGCTGCCCTGCTGGCATACTGCCTTTATTTGGTAAGCTGTCCTACTAGCATGCTGCCGTTATTTGGCAAGCTGCTCTGCTGGCATGCTGCCTTTATTTGGCAAGCTGCCCTGCTGGCATACTGCCTTTATTTGGTAAGCTGCCCTACTAGCATGCTGCCTTTATTTGGCAAGCTGCTCTGCTGGCATGTTGCCTTTATTTGGCAAGCTGCCCTGCTGGCATGCTGCCTTTATTTGGCAAGCTGTCCTACTGGCATGCTACCGTTATTTGGCAAGCTGCTCTGCTGGCATGCTGCCTTTATTTGGCAAGCTGCCCTGCTGGCATGCTCCCATTATTTGGCAAGTTGCCCTGCTGGCATGCTACTGTTATTTTATACTTGATTTTATTGACATCTTTAGTCGGCTCGTCCCTTTAATAAGGAAAGTAGATTAAGACGAGTTTCACGTAACTCGTAATAAGGTAAGTAGATGAATACGAGCTTCACTTAGCTCACCCTTTAACAGGGGAAGTAGATTACTACGAGCTTCACCCAGCTCACTTTTTAACGAGGGAAGTAGATTACTATGAGCTTCACTCATCTCACCCTTTAACAAGGGAAGTAGATTAATACGAGCTTCACCCAGGTCACCCTTTAACAGGGAAAGTAGATTAATACGAGCTTCACCCAGGTCACCTTTTAACAGGGGAAGTAGATTACTATGAGCTTCACTTAGCTCACCCTTTAACAAGGAAAGTAGTTAACCCCTCATCTTTTTACGAGGGAAGTAGATTACTATGAGCTTCACTCAGCTCACCTTTTAACAAGGGAAGTAGTTAACCCCTCATCTTTTTACGAGGGAAGTAGATTACTATGAGCTTCACTTATCTCACCCTTTAACAAGGGAAATAGATTAATACGAGCTTCACCCAGGTCACCCTTTAACAGGGGAAGTAGATTAATATGAGCTTCACTCAGCTCACCCTTTAACAAGGGAAGTAGTTAACCCCTCATCTTTTTATCGAGGGAAGAAGATGAAGCTGACCCTTTATTCTTTTATGGGGGAAAGAGGTATGGTCTTGACATGGGAGTCATCTCCTCTGACGGTTATCTCGGGATGTTGGCAAATCGTTGACACTTGTCGCACTTTTGAACGAAGTCAAGTGCATCTTTCTGCATGGTGGGCCAATAGTATCCTAGTCGGATGGCCTTGTTAGCAAGTGACCTACCCCCAGCATGGTTTCTACAAACTCCTAGGTGGATCTCCCTTAAAATGTAGTCAGCTTCCTCGCTAGAAACGCATCGTAAATACGGCATGGAGAAGCTTCTCTTGTTGAGCACCCCTTTGATAAGCGTATACCTAACTGCCCGCATTTTGACCTTTCGAGCTTCTGCTCGGTCTGTTGGTAGCACCCCATCCTTCATATATCTGATGATAGGATCTGCCCATTCCACACTCAATATCGCTTGTTGCACTTCAATTTGTCTCTCCTGAAATATAGATGGTTCGTCCAAATATTCCAGTGGTATATTCTTATTGATCTCAGGTTTAATGCAGTAGCTAGCCGGGCTAAAGCGTCTGCTTTCCCATTCTCTTCTCGTGGTATTTGATGAATTGAGAATATTTGGAAGTGATTCTTTAATTCCTTCACCTTTTGTAGGTAACTCTTCATCTTCTCGTCTCGTGCCTCATATTCCGCTTGAACTTGTCCAGCGACCAGCTCGGAGTCGGTGTAATTGCTCAACCCCTAGGGCATTTGCCACTTTTAATCCTGCTATCAAGGCTTCGTACTCTGCTTTGTTGTTGGTTGCGTTGAAACCAAACCGAAGTGCGTACTGTATACTTTCTCCCTCTAGGGAGACAAGAACAAGCCCGGCTCCGTTAACCTGAACATTAGATGACCTATCCACGAGCAAGTCCCAGACTACTTCTGGGCCCATCTGCTCACTTAAACCTGGTTCTGTCGAAAATTGGGGTTGTTTCTCCTCTTCTGGAGGGGTAAACTCAGCTAAGAAATCAGCCAACACCTGAGCATTTACTGCTGTTCTTGGCTTATACTGAATGTCGAACTCTTCTAACTCTACTGACCACTTCACCAGTCGACCAGAGCTTTCTGGCTTGTGTAAGACCTGTCGAAGGGGTTGATCTGTTAGGACCACTATCGTATGCGCTTGAAAGTATGGTCTCAGTTTCTTGGCGGACACAATTAAAGCAAAGACCAACTATTCCATCCTTGGATATCTTTCCTCCGCACCCCTAAGTGCTCTGCTCACGAAGTATACTGGCCTTTGGACCCCTTCTTCTTCTCGTATCAGAGTTGAACTGGCAGTTGTCGTGGAGACTGCAAGGTATATGTATAGTTCCTCTCCTGGTATGGTTCGAGACAGTAGTGGGGGAGAACTAAGGTATTGTTTTAGTTCTTTGAACGCCTGCTCACACTCTGGGGTCCATTCAAACACATTCCTTAGCACACGAAAGAAAGGTAGACACCTGTCAGTTGACCGAGAGATTAGCCTACTCAAGGCAGCAATATTCCCTGTTAGTCATTGTAGATCCTTGGTTGATCTTGTCGATCTCATGTCAATGACTGCTCGGATCTTCTCTGGATTAGCCTCAATTCCTCTTCTGCTTACCATATATCCCAAGAACTTTCCTGAGGAAACCCCAAAGGCACACTTGCTGGGGTTGAGTTTCATCTTATGCCTCCTAAGTACCTCGAAGGTCTCCTGCAGGTCAGTCAAATGGTCTTCAGCTTTTACGCTTTTCACTAACATGTCATCAACATATACCTCCATGTTTATACCAATTTGATGCTTAAACATTGCATTCACTAGCCTTTGGTATGTTGCACCAGCGTTCTTGAGCCCAAACGGCACCAGCGTTCTTGAGCCCAAACGGCATTACTTTGTAACAGTACAAACCTCTATCAGTGATGAAGGCCATTTTTTCTCTATCTGAGGTGTACATAGATATCTGGTTGTATCCAGAATATGCATCCATGAAACTTAATAGTTCGTGTCCAGCCGTTCCCTCAACGAGCATATCGATTCTTGGGAGAGGAAAGCTGTCATTCGGGCAAGTTTTGTTAAGGTCGGTGAAATCCACACATAGCCTCCACTTTCCATTTGCCTTCTTCACTAAGACCACATTTTCCAGCCAGTCGGGGTAGTACACCTCTTGAATAAAGTCGACTTTTAAGAGCTTTTCCACCTCTTCTGATATAGCCTAATTCCTTTCTGGAACGAAAGTCCTCCTCTTTTGTCTGACAGGTTTAAAGTTAGGATTTACATTTAAGCGGTGCTCCATGATAGTGGGGTCTATACCCGACATGTCTTCATGGACCCATGTAAATACGTCTCGATTCTTCCTGAGGAATTGAGTAAGTTTATCTTTGATACCTGGGGGAAGTAAAGACCCTATACTCACTTTTTTCTCGGGCTCACCGTCACCAAGGATGACCTCTTCTAGCTCCACTGTATGTTCCGCTCTATGAAAGTCTGGTCTATCTTTCCCTTCCAGCCCTTCAATCGTAAATGCCTCTTACGATTTTATTTTTCTAAGAGAGGCGACATAACATTTGCGAGCCATTATTTGGTCCCCTCTTAGCTCTCCCATACCATATTCAATTGGGAAGCGCATCAGGAGATAGTAAGTGGACGTGATTGCTTTCATGGCATTCAATGTTGTCCTCCCCATGATAATATTGTATGATGATGGGCAGTCCACTACTACAAATTC